TAATGATGATGAAATCAGATCAGACCTATTGTCATGTTTAATCCCAGTGAGAGTCAAGTTGGGAGTTGATAGTTTCTTTTCTTTTCTTTTTTTTTTACAGAGGATCAGTTTAGTATGCATTAAGTAAAGATTTCAACAGTTTGCACCCCCATAGAAACACAAAGTGAAATATATTGTTTGAGTACTCGTTATAGCATTAAATTTCAATGCACAGCACATTAAGGATAGAGATCCTACATGAGGAGTAAGTGCACAGTGACTCCTGTTGTTGACTTTACCAATTGACACTCCTGTCTATGGCATCAGTAATCTCCCTATGCTCCAGTCATGAGTTTCCAAGGCTATGGAAGCCCTCTGAGTTCTCCGATTCTTATCTTGTTTAGACAAGGTCATAGTCAAAGTGGAGGTTCTCTCCTCCCTTCAGAGAAAGGTACCTCCTTCTTTGAAGACCTGTTCTTTCCACTGAGATCTCACTCACAGAGATCTTTTGCCAGAGTGTCTTGGCTTTCCATGCCTGAAATACTCTCATGGGCTTTTCAGCCGGATCCGAATGCCTTTAGGGCTTATTCTGAGGTTGGGCCATCTTCTACTGCTTTCTCAGGCCACAGCAGAGAGCTGGATTGGAAGTGGAGCAACTGGGACTAAAACTGGCACCCATATGGGATGCTGGCACTGCAGGCACTATGCCACAGTGCTGGCACCAAGATGCAGAATTAAATCATATCCATAAAGTTAACTGTAGTACATACAGTACTAATGTAATAACTTTGTAGCTACCTTCTGTCACTTTTGTGGGTAGTCAAAAGTTACATGTGGGTTTTTGACTGCATGAGTGATTGGTGCTCCTATTGTGAGGAATCAGAAGGGTTAAAGGCAGTTAACAAAGCCCCCGGTGAGAAAAAGGAACCAGATGTTTGTATAAAAACCTGCCATCCACTGATTAGACAAAAGACATTGCCCTGAGAACATGGAAAGATTGATAGTTAGGTAACCACATGAGAACCTAGGCTCTGGCATCATACCAGAACACACACAGAGCCACATGGCTCTGAGGCTTAACAACTGATCAGTCAGGCATAACCTGTCTTTAATGGTTGGGTCAACAATCTTTCTCAACTGTTACATCTCCCAAGTGGTCCACATGGTATTGTTTGTTAACTGATCAGGAATCATGATCCCTATACAAGAGACATAGAAAAAGCAGATTTCTGATGTATTGAAACTGTGCATAAGAACTGACCATTGATATGCAGTCCCTAACTAAGCTCCCAATATGCAGATCTTGATGGACCCCACCCTTAGGAACCCCTCTTGCCTCTCAGCTCTCATCTTAGCATAAAGCAACAGAGAAGTTCAAGCCTATGGTGCACAAACATGGTCATAGGAAAAAGAAAAAAAAGTGATCAGGACAGCAGAGACACTCCAGCTTTTTATATCCCGGGCTGAAGTGAATTCCAAACTTGATTGGTCCTTGAAAGGACTTGTCAAGCAACTGATAAAGCTATTCCCTTTTGGGAACACCTACACTGATATTTCAACTTGTTCTTTTATTTACTTCGTAGAGTGTTTCACTCCCTAGGATCATGTACCCTGATAGACAGAGGGCATATGGTCAGTGTGAAGAGAAGGGGGCTCAGAGACCTCAGCTGAGTTAGCAGGTGAGTCCATCTCATGAAACAATGTTTATAAAGTCAAGCATCTGAAATGGAAGGAATTCTCCTAAAACCTCTGTCCCTATTTACCCCCTTAAGGAGGCTTAGAGGCATCAGAACCACCCCTACCCAAGCTTGAAACTCTCTGTTCTGTGATTTTTAGGATTTTTTTGTTAACTTTTATTTAATGAATATAAATTTCCAAAGTACAGCTTATGGATTACAATGGCTTCCCCCGCCCCATAACGTCCCTCCCACCTGCAACCCTCCCCTTTCCCTCTTCCTCCCCTCTTCATTCACATCAAGATTCATTTTCAATTCTCTTTATATACAGAAGATCAGTTTAGTATATATTAAGTAAAGATTTCAGCAGTTTGCACCCACATAGAAACACAAAGTGAACAATACTGTTTGAGTACTAGTTATAGCATTAAATCACAATGTACAGCACATTAAGGACAGAGATCCTACATGAGGAGTAAGCGCACAGTGACTCCTGTTGTTATAGGATTGAGAATTCTGTGTTCAGAGACAGACCACCATTTGCCGGATGTGGGTTCTTGGGCATAGATGCATTAAGTGCTTCTCTACTATAAAATGAAGATTGTGTTGGAATTCATTGCCAAGAGCCTTTGCAAGCATTAAGTGAGTTTGTCCATGTTAAAATCTTTAATACGGTGAGCATTGCCCAGTATACATTACATATTATTCTCCTTAGGAGGCAATACACTACTGAAATCATTGTTGAACTGTTGAAGTTTTACTGAAGAGGAGGAGACAGAAGCCAGGGAGTCTACAAAGAGTCTGAATCGACCTGCTGAGTGAAGGATGAGAAAGAGGGTTGGGGCAAGAGTGGGTCTGCATTTGAGACTCCAGGGTTGACAGAGTGGTGGCACCAGTGGGGCCCTGGAATGCCTGCCCGGTTCTGTAAAAGGCAGTTTCATGCAGGACTGCAAACCCAGTGGTGGCAACCAACACTTTTCAGTTGAATCCAGAAATCCAGATGATTCTGTGAAATCTGAATTTCGAACCCTCTTAAAAATCTGGGGCAAACCAAAGAAGGCTGCGAAGTGCAGCTTTGCAACCTCCGTGTAAAAATCTTTGAGGCTCTGCTGCAGTGGAACTCATCAGTTATGTCCCATAGTGCCTTGCATCTTTTTCCTGGCCTAATGAATAAATTCTCAGGGAAAATAATTTTCTTAGATGTGCACATACCAATACTGACTGGCTTTATAAGTTTCAAACTTGTAAAAGATTTGAGACATAAAAGTTCTTGATCTAGATTTAACAATTTAAGATTAGAGATGCAAAAAGGGAATGAAAGCACACATTGTAAATATGTTATACAAGACAGGATGTTATCTCAGACAGGATTGTTCAAGGAAGTAGCAGGGTTTCGAGTCAGCTGAAAGTATTTTTAACTTCCCTATAAACACAGCAGTCTTGTTATATAGGCAATAAACCATAGAATTTTCTTTTTATTCCTCTTGACTACATTTTTTCCCCTGACCCTATACACAGCTTTAAAACTACTCCTCCCAGTTCATATTCTGGATTGAATCACCTTTTCTTCTTAAGCCTCCCCCTTATGCTTTCCTTTCCACCTGTTCCTGGAAATCTCAGATTCCAGCTTTCTTAAACAAAGGACAACACCTACGTTTGGACACTAAAAGAGGAACTTCCCATGATGCCTGCAAAGATGAGTTCCTGTTTTCTAGGAGAAGGAGGCATACCTGGCGGGGGGCGGGGGAGGTGAGGTGAGGAGCATGTGCACAGCATGAAGGTTCGGAAAGGGTAACAATGCAGGGTGACAGTGAATGTGAAGTGGTGGCAGATGGATTCAGAGAACAGACTCCACGATGGCTTCAAGGATCCCACCCCCTCTCCTAAGTCCTGCACACCCAAGGCTCTTCATCCCACAGCATTTCCAGGATCACCCTGACAAACAGGCACTCAAAGCTCCTCAAGAGCTTTGAATGAAGGAGATGCAGGTTTGTCCCCTTTCAACACATCCCATTCACTTTCCAGAGTTTCAGTTACCCACAGTCCACTGTGGCATCGTGCCATCTCATGTCCCAATGGGATGAAGGAAGGTGGCGACAGTGCAGCAGGACAGATGAGTAAGCGAGCCAGCGTGCACGTTCACATAGCTTTTATTACAGTACATTGCTCTCAGTGCTCCATTTTCGTGTAACTTATTGTTAATCTCTTACTGTGCCTAACTTATACATTAGTCTCTATTGTAGGCAGTATAAGTGGGCAAACACACAGTACAGATGCTCCTCCCCTTACAAGGGGACCATATCTTAACCTATTGTAAGTCAAAAAGGCATTTAATATATGGATACTTCAGAAAGCTTGTGGAAAATTGAATCAGAAGACAACACACATTTTCTGTGGGTGTTTTGAAGACCCCTTGTATACCTAACCTGGTAAACACCCTAGTGTAGCATTATGGTTTACTATAGAGTATTGCTCTTCCCCCCCCCCCCCCGATCGTGTGGCTGGCGGGGAGCTGCAGCTCACTGTCACTACCCAGCATCATGAGGGTATTGTTGTACCCTAGATCACTAGGCTGGGAAAATAACAAAATTCAAAATTCCAAGTATGAGTTGTGCTGAGTGCGTATTACTCTCACACCGCTGTAAAGTCTAAAAGTCATCTGACAAAGCGTCATGAGCTGGGACCATCTGTACGGATATGGCTCAGTACTATCTGCACCTGCAGGCATCTGCTGGTGACTTGGACTCTACGCCCTATGGATGTGAGTGGACCACTCTATAGCTATTGGACCTTACAAAAGTTGCTTAAAATATTTAGATCCCAGGAGCAAGTGTTTGGTCTTATGCTAAAGCTGCCAATTAGGAAACCTGTACCCCAGGCCAGCCTGCTTGGGATCGAGTCCTGGCTATACTCCTGATTCAGCCTTCCTGCTGTTGCACACTCTGGGATCTAGCAGGTGATGACTCAAGTACTTTGATCTCTGCCTCCCACATGACAGACCTGGATGGAGATCCTGGCTCCTGACTTTGGCCTGGCCCAGCTTCAGTCCTCGTGGGCAATTGGAGAGTGAGCCAGTGGGATGGGAGTACCCACACTCTTTCTCTCTCTCTCCCCTGTGTCTATATGCCTCTCAAATAAAATAAAATAAATCAAAAATTTTAAAACTCTTGGATCTTAATTTTCCTCATCTCTAAAATGAGGATCAAATATGTCCCTTCAAAAGATGTTGTGAGGACTTGATTACATGAAAAGTATTTATAATATCTTCGTATAATGTTTGGCATCTAAAACACCCTCAGGAAATGGCATTTGGTAGTAACAGTACTTTCAGTTTTGTGAACATACCACGCTCATGCTCAACCGCATATAGTTGTAGATTCTGGGATCTCCTCCTGGATTTTCCTGAAGCGGTCCTTGACCTTCCTCCTTCTAACTCTGCTGGCATTGGTGGCTGCCTCTCTCCAGCACAGAGGGCTGTACTCCAGGTACCCTCAGGAGATCTCTGGAAGTGTATGGGAACTTGCATGTGAAAAAGATTCCATCTTTATTGTTACTAACAAGCAACTGAAATTCAGCATTTTCTCTAATTTGAATGTAGACGATAAAGCTAAGCAGTATTAATAATATCTAAGATTTGTGCCATGTAGATCACAATATTTTACATCATGCTACATTTGTTATAGTTATCACAAAACGCCATTTACTCTCACTCCTACTTTGAAATTATAGTAATTAGGCCCACCACTAGATTCAATGTAGCAAGTGGGAAAGGCATATATTTATACATCATAATTTAAAATATTTGAAAATCATAATTCAATATAATTGGCTTCCATTGTAACAGTATATATTTAATTGATACATTTAATAATATTGTTCTTAAAAAAGATTTATTTATTTGAAAGGCAGAACAACAGGAAGTGGAGAAACAGAAGAAGAGAGAGACAGTCTGTTCATTTCCCAGATGATTGTAACAGCCATGATTGGGCCAGGCAAAAGCCAGAAATCAGGAATTCCATGTGGGTTTCCCACGTGGGTTGCAGGAACTCAAGTATTTAAGCTATAATCTGCTGTTCCCCAGGTACATTATCAGAGAGCTGGATCAGAAGTGGAGTAGCTGAGACTTGAACAGGCAATCTGATATGTAATATGGGCATCCCAAGCAGTGGCTTAACCTGCTGTGCCACAGTTCCTTGCACTAGTAATAGTGCTCTGAAGATAAAAAGTCCATATATCATGAAAAGATTGCAGGTAATCGTGAGAAGTTTCCAAGTTACCCTCTTCCCACCCCTAAATGTAAGAACCCTTGTCCAACTACTTTAATATATTTTCTACTAATTTAGATACATATCATCTTTTCTTTTACAGATCAGCCTCCGGCCCCACTTGTACAGACTGAGCAAAATTTCCGAGTCTCATTTAATGCCATTACCTTCTCACTCAAGAGGGATATTAACACACAATTACTCATTGCTAGTTGTAGATTACCCATACCCAATCAGTTTACTTCTAGAACATGTACTTCTTTAAATTAGAGTTTTGCCATCCAATCTAAGGATTGTCTTCCTAATATGCTTTTGTTTCCTTTAAAATAAGCCCTGGAGGAACTGCAGTTTCAATCTATGATGTGTTTAGCTGCAAGGAGCCTCATCACTCCTACAATAACAAGAAAAATCCATAGAATCTACAGAATTACGCCTTTGGTTTCATTCATCAGAGACTAAGTCCCTAGCAACACCCTGTGACTTGAAACCTAAGGAAAGTCAGAACAGAAGAAACACAAAACAGTCACTCTCCTTTGAGGAACATAGTGCAAGAGATCAAACTGCCATGTGAATCAGTAAACAGAATCCTGCTAATTTTTATAAAGGGATCACTCAAGTCTCAGTGTGGCCTGGTGTGAGTATAGAATTTCTAGCAGCGTAGACACGAAGAGAGTTGGTACCCACCTGCTGGTTCTTCTCCTTGGGCCTCTGGTGAGCACCCACAGAAAGACTAGGGTGAGGGCAGGAGATGGAGATAGCTTATCTTTGCGGTTGCCTTGTTGGGAAAGTCATGAAGTCTCCCCTTTCCTTTTCCCCTGAGTCCAAAAGGCTTGTGCTGCTTGGGAAAGGACAGCAAACCCTGCAACTCTCAGGCACAAATGGAGACTTCCTGTGGCTGGGGAAATGGAAAATGAACTCAGCTCTCTTTGGCTTGGAGCAGGAAACTATCCTGGGCCAAGATAGTTCATGATTTTCTAGGGCTGCAGGGAAAGGGGAAAGTATCACTTAGGAAGTCCCTGGCTCCCCTCCAAAAAGGCCAGGGCCAGGAAGGAAGACTGGCCTAAGATTCACACTAAACCAGAACAAAACACAATCCCATTCCTTCTCCCATGGGATTAGGCAACACCAAATAAAAAGCAGCAGTAGACTCTCATGGAAGAAGGGCAAGCAAACACGGAGAGAAATTCTTTCTGAGACCCAGGCACACAGGAAAGGACTGAATTAAAGTTAAAATAGGAGCATTGAGAAAAATCCTTGATCAGAATAATACCCACCCTGAGCACCAACTCACTCCAGAATAATTTGAACTTATTGGTCAACTGAAGGTAGTCATAGCAACCAAAGCCTCAAAGCCAGCTCGGTCCCACTCTGATCCCTTTCTTCTGTGAATCAGCATTGTATATGCTACCCATCTGTTAGTTGCTTTGTAGGTTAGTTGGTTATAGGGTAGACTGTTGCAATATTAAAGCACTCATGTTCCACTTAACACAGTAATTGCTCTGTTATTAATTATTGTTTTAATATGCTACTGTGCCTAATTTATACATTTAATTAAGTATTAATTTATAAATCAGACTTATACATCAAACTTTATCATAGGCATGTATCAGGATTCTTCAACAAGTTTCTGGGAAATGCATATTATGAAAAACTATCCATGAGTTGCAAAATCTTTCTATACTAAAAATTCATTTTTAATTCCATTTCCCATGAACTTTTTGAAGTGCACACATCTGTATCAAAAGAAACACAGTATATATAGAGGTCAGTATTATCCATGGTTACAGGTATCCACTGGGGTGCATGGAATGTATCCTCTGTCGATGGGAGGGGATTGCTATGCATATAAAAATAATTTGAAATGAATCATAAATCTGAATGCAAAACTTAAAACAATTAGTCTTCCATCAGTAATTCCAAAAAAACTATTTGTGATCTTAGATTATGCAAAGGTTTCTGTAATGTGACACTATGAGTACCATTTATAAGAGAAAAAGTTGATAAATTGAACTTCAATTTTAAAAGTTTCAACAAAATTAGAAATGACTTTTTTTAAAAAAGGATATGTTTATTTGTTTGAAAGACAGAGGGGGAACACACACACACACACACACAGAGAGAGAGAGAGAGAGAGAGAGAGAGAAATGTTCTATCCACTTTTACTCCCCAAATGCCCGCAACAGCTAGGGCTGGGCAGGCCATAGCCAAGAGCCTGGAACTGAAACCAAGTCTCCTGTGTTTGTTCCAGGGAGCCCGAGTACTTGGGCAGTCATTTGCTGTCTTCCCAGGAAGTTGGATAAGAAGCAGGGTAGGCAGGACTCAAAGAAACCCTCTGATATGAGATGCTGGCATCGTAAGTGGCAGCTTAACCCATGGTGCCACAACTCCTGCTTCAAGCTACTGCTTTTTAAAAGACACTACTATGAATTACAGTATTTTCTGTCAGCCACAGACTGGGAGAAAATATTTACAAATCACATATATGATAAAGAACTTGTCTCCTGAAAAAATAGTAATAAAATATTAAGAAAGTAAACTGAAAGTCAATAATAAGAAAATAAACAATGCAAATAAAAATATGGGCAAAAGTTAAAACACTTCCCCAAAAAAGAAACACAGATGAGCATAGATAGGGATGTTCAGCATCATCTGTAATTAGGGAAGTGAAAACAGAGGCCATGAGGCACTTCTACACACTTACAAGATGTGAGCACTCACACACAGCTAGTGAGACGCAACAGTGGTGTGGACACTTTGCAAAACAGTTTCTTTTTTTTAATTTACTTGACAGAGTTATAGACAATGAGAGAGAGAAAAATGAGAGAAAGATCTTCCTTCCATTGGTTCACTCCCCAAATGGCCACTGCCGATCTGAAGCCAAGAGCCAGGTGCTTCCTCCTGGTCTCCCAAGCAGGTTCAGGGGCCCAACCACCTGGGCCATCCTCCACTGCCTTCCCGGGCCACAGCAGAGAGCTGGACTGGAAGAGGAGCAACTGGGACTAGAACCTGGCACCCATATAGGATGCTGGTGCCACAGGTGGAGGATTAACCAAGTGAGCCATGGCTTTGGCCCCCTGCAAAACAGTTTCTTGTAATGCTAAAGTAGACTTTTCACAGAGCAATCCCACACCACGCATCATTTACTGCTTTCCCTGGCACATTAGCAGGGAGCTGGTTCAGAAATGGAGCAACCAGGACATTAATCAGCACTCTGATATGGATTACTGGCATCCCAAATGGTGGCTTAACCCACTGCACCACAATGATGGCCCCAGTAAAATTATTTAAAAAAATAGTGGAAATACCATTAAAGGAATTAAGAAATCTATAAAGAAGGAACAGAGAAACAAAAATACTGGGAGCACATTGAAAACAAAAAGTAAACTGATTATCTCAATAATAACATTCAGTATGTATGTGTTAGCAATCCAAACAAAAGGCAGAAATTGGCAAATTGGTTAATAAGTCAAGATCCATTTATGTGCTGCCTAGAGGAGTCACACTTTACGTTTAAACACACAAACGCTTTGCAAGTAAAAAGGCGGAAAAAGCACATTATTCAAACAGCAATCAGAAGACTGGAGTTGATATTCTAATATTACACAAAATAAACTTTAAAAAACACATAATATTACCAGAGACAGAGACATTTTTCATTGATAACATGACCAACACATCAGGGAGATGTAACGGTTAGAAAAGTATAAGCATTTAACCAGAGAGATCCCAAGTATATGAAAAAATAATGGAATTGAAGAAAGAAATAGAAAATTCACCAATAATAGTTGGAGACTTTAATATCCCACTTTAAACAAAAGTTAGAAAAATAGGCAGTTCAACAAGGAAATATAAAACTACAACATCATAACCAACCAGACCTTACAGAGGTCTACAGACCATTCTCTCTAACTACAACTGAAAACATATTATTTGAAAGTACACATGGAATATTTTCCAAGATAGACCATATGCAATACCAATCGACAAGTCTTCATATATAAAAAAACATTGAAATCATGTAAAGTGTGATTTACGATAACAGGAAATGAAATTGTCCATTAGTAATGGAAATAAATTTGAAGATTCACAAATATGTGAAAAATTAAACAGCACAGAACAAAATAACAAGTGTTTCAAAGAAGAAATCATATGGGAATCGAAAAATACTTTGAGGGGAATAAAATAAAGGCATAACATACCAAAACTTATTGGACAAAAGTAAAATATGGCTTAGGGGGAAATTTGTAAATGTGCATACTCACTGAAAAGGACGATCTCACATCAGTAACCTAACTTTTTACCTAGCATCAGTGAGATAGGAAGAGCAATCCAAACCTGAAGCAAGCAAAAGGACTAAAATACAAAGATCAGAGTTGAAATTGATAAACCAGAGACTAGAAAAGCAGTAGAGAAAATGAATGAAACCAAAGAGAGCTTTTTGAAAAGACAACAAATGGACAAACAAGCTTGACTGACCACGTTTAGGAGACAAAACTCAAAGTACTAAAGTGAGTAAAGTTAATCATATCCACTATCCACTTTGAGAAATAAAAAGGATTATAAGGGAATATTTTGAACAACTACCTACCAACAGATTAGCTAATTGACATGAAATAGACAAATTTCTAGCAACACACAAAGTGGAAGCAAAAGGAGAAACAGCAAATTAGAATAGACCTATGTAAACAAACCAGTGATTTAAAAAATTTTTATAATACAATAATGCTGTTAAAAGGAATATACCCAAAGGAATTGAAATCAGTAGGGCAAAGAAATATCTGCACTAACAAGTACATTGCACCATTAGTCACAATAGCTAGGATGTGAGAAGAACTTCAGTGCCCCGCAGTGGATGCATGGATTTTAAAAATGGGATATATGCACAATGGGATGCAGGAAATTTGTGTAATGGATGAACCTAGAGGATAGTAGCCCCCGTGAAATAAGCACAGAGACACAAATACTGCCTGATCTCATTTCTATATGGAATTTCAAAAAGATGTGGGTAAACTGAGAGCCTCAATCACTGGTAGTGATCATGTAAAATGGTGATGCCTCTTTAGGAAAAGATTAAATATAGAGTTACCACAAACCCAGTAATTCCATTTTCAGGTATATATGCGAGGGAAATGAAAACATATGTACATAAATGTTCACAGCAATAGGATTTATAGAAACTCAAAAGTGGACATAACCTGAGTGTCTACCTACTGCTAAATAGAGAAATGAAGTGTGTGTACCCATACAGGGGATCATTGCCCAGGAGAAAAAAAGAAATGAAATACTGATGCATGCTACCATCTGGATAAAATCTCAAAAACATTCTACTAAGTGAAAAAAAATCTAGAACCTGAAAGGCCATGTGTTGAATGATTACATTTGTATTTTAAAAAGTTCAGGGCAAGTCTGAAGACTGAAAGCAGATTAATGATTAGCTGAGACCGGAGGTGGGAATGATAAGTGACCACACGTGGGTAAGGGCCTTTTTGGCAGGGATGATGGGAATATTCCAAAATTGACTTTTGCTAAGGTTTCACAACTAGGTAAATGCATTAAAAGCCAGTGAATTGCGCACTTAAAATAAGTGAATTTCATGGTATGCAGAAATAAAGCTGTTAAAAATTGCAGTCACATGAGATACATGCTTTAATAGTGGAGTGTTTCACATGTAGATGCAGATGGGAAAAATTAGTCCACTTGGATTGAGGTTGGAAGGCAATAAATATAGAATAGGAAAAGTACTGCAATAAAGACCATAGTTTTTAATGAGTTAACTAACGAGAAACAATCTTGTTTAAAAGTTTTCTTTGCAAGAAGCCTTTTCTGAGCTGTAGAGAGAGAGCTAGTATATCCTCTCTGTGACA